AGTGAGACAAGGTAAGCGACCCTTATCAGACTTTATTTGGGACTTTAGAAGGGTCACCAGCCATCTCATGGATTGGCCTGAAAGAGTGACTTTATACTACTTTAAGAATGCCATTGACCCAGAAGTGAAGAAGGCCTGTAACATTAGGGGAATCCCAGAGATGTTTCAAGCATGGTATTCCACCACCCTCAGATTAGACCGTGACATCAACCCACACAGGAAACCCCTTCCTGAAGGCCCCGTCAAAAAGAACTGGGACCAGATGACTGCCGACCAGACCTGCTGGAGCTACTTGCATCCGATCCAACATGATGATAAGATGTTACCGTTGTGGCCAGGATGGCCATAGAACAGCTGACTGTCTGGCTCCCACACCTGTACCCTGAGCACCACCATCAAAGCCTAACAAGGCTGTCAGAGGTTGGAAAAGTCAAGGAAGACCTCCTGACATCAGCCAGTTTGCTAGACCCAGCCTGGAGGGTCCTCTCTATGCAGAAGGAAGCAACAAACTTCCAGAACAACATCACCTCCCCGAGAACCCGGCAAGTCCTGGATAAACTTATAGCTGCCAAATTATATATAAAGCTCTCAAAATGCGAATTCCACAAGGAGTCGCTGGACTACTTAGGCTACCGAATATCCAACCTGGGAATTGAGATCGACCCTGGAAAGATGAAAGCCGTGCTGGACTGGCAACCCCCCCAAAACCGAAAACAACTTCAAAGTTTTTTGGGCTTTGTCAATTTCTATAGACAATTCATTCCTTCTTTTGCTAAGGTTGTCCTCCCTCTGATGGAGTTATTAAAAACAGGTCCGTCACCCACCAAACCAAACCCCAGTCAACTCCTGGCTTGGACCATGGACTGTCAGAAAGCTTTTGAAGCCTTAAAATGCCTCTTTGCCACTGAGCCCATTCTCCAGTACCCAGACCTGACCAAACCTTTTATAGTCCAAGCTGATGCAAGTGATGTAGCAGTAGTTGCCGTTCTGCTACAAAAGGATTCTCAGAACCAACTGATGCCTTGCACTTATGTGTCCAAAAAATTAACAGACACAGAGCAAAGATGGGTGGTTTGGGAGAAACGAACATTTGCCATACAATGGGCTTTGTTGACATGGAGGCATTTCCTAGAAGGGATGAAGGAGCCATCTGAGGTATGGACTGATCACAGAAACCTCGAGACTCTGAAGACCCCTCGGAGACAATCACCTAAACAAGTCCATTGGGTTCAATACTTCAAGTGATTCAATTTCAACATGAAATATATCCCCGGAGGAAAAAACATATTGGTGGACGCCCTATCCAGAAAACCCCAGTTTGACAGTCACCGTGAAGAAATAGTACAAGCCTTGATATCAGAAGCCCAATTGGCAGGTCAAGTAACCACTCGAGGCCAGGCCAACCTCAGCCCCAAATGCCTGGAAGACAAACTGACCATGGAATTGAAAGCAGCCCTATTGACCGATCCCTGGTTCCTGGACCATTGAACTGACTTAACAATGAATGATGGACTGACTTGGAAGGGGACTAAACTTGATGTGCCCACCACTCTAAGATTACTGGTACTAAAACATAGCCATGGTTCACGGCTGGGAGGCCACTTCAGGTTCTTAAAAACCCTACATTTACTCAGGAGACAGTTCTGGTGGCCAAGAATGAAACCTGATGTAGAGGACTATGTAAAAAGCTGCTCAATTTGTGCCACCATGAAACACAGAACTGGAAAAACCCCTGGTCTCCTCCAACAAGTCGCTGAACCAAAACAGCCATGGGAAGAAATTGCAATGGACTTTATTGTAGAATTACCGGAGAGTGAAGGGAATACGATCATTTGGACTGTCATTGCCTTATTCTCTAAGCAGGCCCACTTTATAGCCTGTAAGGGACTTCTATCTGCAAAAAAGCTTGCAAAACTGTTCATGAAGCATATCTATAGACTACATGGAGTATCTCATAGAATAATATCAGACGGGGGGGGGGTACAATTTACCACTAAATTCTGGAGGGAATTTTTGAAGTCTATTGGGTCCTCCCAAGGATTATCCTCAGCTTTCCATCCTGCCTGCAATGGAGCAGCGAAGAGGGTTAACGCCATAGTTGAACAATGCATTAGATGTTATATAAATTATCAAAAGGAAAACTGGGTTGAATTATTACCCTTTGCAGAGGTTGCTTATAATAATGCAGTACATAGCAGCATGGGACTGACTCCATTCCAAATCAACACTGGGATGGACTTTGTCCTATGCCAGAATTACCTAGACAACCTCCCACATCCATGTCTCTAACAGAATGGATGAACTCATTAAAAAAAGGTTGGGAAGATACAAAAAATGCTTTGACCGAAGCTGCAAAAATTTATAAAAAGCAGGCAGATAAACATAGATCCCTTCAACCGCCATTTAAAGTTTGAGACAAAGTATATTTGTCAACCAAGTATCTTAAGTTGAAACTCCCTAGTAAGAAGTTAGGACCAAAATTGATTATTTTGGAATGAATTATAAAGTGAACTAAAATTAGTAAGAACTGAGATTTGCTCTAAAGCAGTGATCCCCAACCTTTTTGATGCTACGGCCCGGTACCGGCATCAGCTGGGCGCCGCGGCCCGGTACCGGCATCAGCTGGGCGCCGCCATCTTTTTTTGATGAAAAAGTGCTTCCGGTGAGCTTTCTACCCGGAAAAGCTCACCGGAAGCGCTGGCGCCGCCATCTTTTTTTGATGAAAACGTGCTTCCGGTGAGCTTTCTACCCGGAAAAGCTCACCGGAAGCACTTTTTCATGAAAAAAAGATGGCGGCGCCCAGCAAGCCGCGGACCGGTAGGAGTTGTTCCGCGGACCGGTACCGGTCCGCGGACCGGTGGTTGGGGACCCCTGCTCTAAAGGATAATGTGGATATGAAATCAAAGTCTAATGATGATGTAATAATAATATAATATGACATGGAGAGTTGATTAATGTAATATAAATGTCAATTTCAATCTTAGAGGAAAAGACTATAAGTATTGTACACAAGAAATATGTACTGGACTTCCGGTTTGAGCTTCTTCGGCGACAGACAGAAACCTCATCTCTGCGAGGCTTCGATCCATGCTCGCCGCTGGAGCACCCCGAGCCGGTTGATTTTGGGGCTAAGCCACCCCGTAGAGGTGATGAAGAAGTGGGAGACTGCCTGCAGGGTCGAGGAGAGCCGCATCTCTCCTTCCCAGCTGGTCATTACTCCCTTTCCCGAAGGCAGTTGTAGTGGTGGTCAGAAATGGCCACCACAAAGAAGAACTCGACCAGAAAAGAATGTGCAGGAGGAAGATAAGAAGAGAAAGTTTTGGTTGACTGGGTCAAACAGCAAAAGCAACAAATAAGGTACCCTGGAATTGAAACTATTAAAAAAAAACAATAACATTGTTCCCTAAGAAGATTTTTAAGCTGTGAAGGAGAGAGAAAAGGGAAAAGATTTGGTTTTTTTTTCTCCTTTTCCTATACTGACAGCTAAGAGACTTAAGCAAGAAATTGGAAAAAAATCCACTTTGACATTAATAGGCATTTAATACTGAAAATAAAAAGTCAAAGGGATAATAAAGATTTCTGGATAATCAAAAGCTTTTGAAAACAGGAAAGGAGAGAAAAAGAATAAAAGAGCAGGATCTGGAAGGGAGGAGACTGCCTGGAATTAAAAAGAATTTACAGTAAAATCTCAACAAGACTTCCAAAAGATACATTTCAACTGAAATATTGCAACAAAAACCCCAGGAAGAGAAAGTGGAAAAAGAAATAAGAAAAAATAACTTGGGACTATTTGGATTACTTGATGATTTCTGGATTTTTGGTTATTGTATTTGAATGACTAAAATCAATTGGGTGGTTGTTTAAAACTGTTTAAAATGGCTCCACTTTTAGAAGAACTGAAAATGGAACTTAAACAGTACAAAGAAGATGCACAAGAAGGAGAGGTTCTTTTGGCTTCGTATTTCAGTTTTGGGAAATGGAGATTTGGAATTATGAGAAACAACAAGAAATGCCTACAGAACAAAAAGATTGCGACAAAGAAGAAGCCATCTTTAATGAACAAGTAATCTTAGCTGGGGGAAAAAAGGAAAGGGGGGAAAGAGAATGGAAAGTTTAAGATTGGGAAAAACAATTCAAAAAAAATAGAGTGAAAAATAAGCATAAAATCAGAAAGAAACAGAAGAGGGAAATACAGAAGAGAGAATTAGAAGTAGAGAGACAAGGGGGTAAAAAGGGGAGGGAGAAGATGAGAGGGAAGAAAGAAAGGAAAAGAAATTATAAAGGACAGAAACAAAATATAGAAAAACAGGGCCTATTTAGAGATAATGGGTGAAAACTTAATGGAAAAAGGGATTCTGCAAAGGTACATAAGATAGTATGGTTATATTAGAAGCAGAAATAATTTTAGAAAATATGAAACAATGTATGATTAAAATGTCTGATAAAATAGATATCGTAATTCAGTGGAATGCTTGTCAATAAATAAATGTAACAAAAGGTATATTTAATGATTTATAAAACATATGTGAAGAGAAATAAGGGAAAATTAATTTTTTAAGGAAGTATGATATTTAATTGAAAAGAAGTGTTAAAGATGTTAAGATTTTAATGATTATTAATGATAGAACTGAATTGAAATGGAATGAGGGTTTATAATTACATATATTTATAATCCTTTCTTTTTTTTAAAGAATATAGTGTGTATTATAAGAATGTACCAAGAAGAATTCGATTGGAAGTTATGTATTATGTATTATATTGAAGGTCATAACCTTAAGGTATATACTGAAGTTTAAGAGTTGAATGGATGTAATTAAAAGATATAAAGGTGTCATACTCCAATTAGTAACTACAGGAGAAAATTTGTTTAATGAGAAAAGATAATATGAAATTGAAACAGAACAGACAAAAGTATAAATATAATGATTTGAATTGAGATGAGATAATCAAAATAAAATTGAGAAAATTAAAAGAGGGGAAAAACTATATAGAAAATGTAGAATAGTATAAGATATGGAATAGAATACAAAAAGGAGCATGAAATTGAGTTTTGTGTCTGTATAAAGAAGTTCAACCAGGGACCATGCTATTTTCAAAAAAGATGTTTTATTTGTATTTTGTATGTGTGAAAACCCAAATAAAACTTTATTTTTTTAAAAAAAGAAATATGTACCAACTGAAACACTGTATAATTGAAAGAAGGTTTTATGTTTATGTTTGTCTATGTTTGTTATTAAAAATAAAACTTTTTTATAAAAAAACATTCTTTTTTTTTAGTAGTAATTTTAAGCCCAATGATAAATTTTACAGCTAAATTCACAAGTCCTAAAGGGCAACATTCCAAAATAAGAGAAAACAAAAGGAAGACAAGAAATCCTAACATTTCTTTCTTGATGTGGACAGTGATAGAGGAGATCGCTGCTTTGATCCAAATGATCAAAGCAATAGCATCCATTGTGTCGCAAGTTTTGGCTCTCAGAAATTCACAAGGCACAAAAGGGGCAAGACTTACATTCCAAGGGCTTAATGCTATTTACATCAAATTTCATTGAGAAAATATGTCATAAATTGGAAAATACACTGCTCAAAAAAAATAAAGGGAACACTTAAACAACACAATGTAACTCCAAGTCAATCACACTTCTGTGAAATCAAACTGTCCACTTAGGTAGCAACACTGATTGACAATCAATTTCACATGCTGTTGTGCAAATGGAATAGACAACAGGTGGAAAGCATAGGCAGTTAGCATGACATCTCCAATAAAGGAGTGGTTCTGCAGGTGGTGACCACAGACCACTTCTCAGTTCCTATGCTTTCTGGCTGATGGTTTGGTCAACTTTTGAATGCTGGCGGTGCTGTCACTCTAGTGGTAGCATGAGATGGAGTCTACAACCCACACAAGTGGCTCAGGTAGTGCAGTTCATCCAAGATGGCACATCAGTACGAGCTGTGGCAAGGAGGTTTGCTGTGTCTGTCAGCGTAGTGTCCAGAGCATGGAGGCGCTACCAGGAGACAGGCCAGTACATCAGGAGACGTGGAGGAGGCCGTAGGAGGGCAACAACCCAGCATCAGGACTTCTACCTCCGCCTTTGTACAAGGAGGGACAGGAGGAGCACTGCCAGAACCCTGCAAAATGACATCCAGCAGGCCACAAATGTGCATGTGGCTGCTTAAACGGTCAGAAACAGACTCCATGGGGGTGGTATGAGGGCCCGACGTCCACAGGTGGTTGTTGTGCTTACAACATCATGCAGGATGTTTGGCATTTGCCAGAGAACACCAAGATTGGCACATTCGCCACTGGCCCCCTGTGCTCTTCACACATGAAAGCAGGTTCACATTGAGCACATGTGACAGATGTGACAGGGTCTGGAGACACCATGGAGAACGTTCTGCTGCCTGCAACATACTCCAGCATGATCGGTTTGGCAGTGGGTCAGTAATGGTGTGGGGTGGCATTTCTTTAGGGGGCCGCACAGTCCTCCATGTGCTCACCAGAGGTAGCCTGATTGCCATTAGGTACCGAGATAGAATCCTCAGACCCCTTGTGAGACCATATGCTGGTGCGGTTGGCCCTGGGTTCCTCCTAATGCAAGACAATGCTAGATCTCATGTGGCTGGAGTGTGTCAGCAGTTCCTGCAAGATGAAAGCATTGATACTATGAACTGGGCCACCCATTCCCCAGACCTAATCCAATTGAGCACATCTGGGACATCATGTCTCGCTCCATCCACCAATGCCACGTTGCACCACAGACTGTCCAGGAGTTGGGGGATGCTTTCGTCCAGGTGTGGGAGGAGATCTCTCAGGAGACCATCCGCCACCTCATCAGGAGCATTCCCAGGCATTGTAGGGAGGTCATACAGGCACATGGAGGCCACACACACTACTGAGCCTCATTTTGACTTGTTTTAAGGACATTACATCAAAGTTGGATCAGCCTGTAGTGTTTTTTTCCACTTTAATTTTGAGCGTAACTCCAAATCCAGACCTCCATGGGCTGCTAAATTTGATTTCCATTGATAATTTTTGTGTGAGTTTGTTGTCAGAACATTCAACTATGTAATGAACAAAGTATTTCATAAGAATATTTCATTCATTCAGATCTAGGATGTCTTATTTTTGTGTTCCCTTTATTTTTTTGAGCAGTGTATTTGAAGCAAGAACAATTTCAGAAGCAAAATGAAATTCTTTCTCAGACTATTTTAAAAATATCAAAGCTTTCTTAGGGAGGAGGACTGCAAAAATCACCCAATGAATACTATTTGGAAGCTGTGTTGGAAGGATGATTCCAATGTGAAAATCTGAGAAACAATTGCTTAGCAAGATGCAACTGTGCCATGTGCATTTGCAGTGGGGTATTTAGTAAAATAAGAAACACATAAAACTAAAAGTGAATAGCAAAGTGGAACTTCTCATTTGCCCAGAGACCCTCTGGTCTCTTGAGCTAAACCCAAGACATTCCTATTGGGAAAAGCCTCTCATCCACTGGAAGAGAAGGAACCAGAGAAAAGAAAGAGTTAGTTGTGGTATGGTGACACAACTAGCCAATGTTTCAACTTTTAGTTGCATTTTAGTTGCATCATCATTTTTAAAAGAAGGTTATGAAGTGATAACATTTGCTTGGAACTCTTCGTATATATTTTCGTTAGGTGCTGGAAATCAGTTAAAGGGGTTACTTATTATTGTTTGATTGCTTCATTTGTACTTGATGTTTGTTCCACCCCTTTATTTTATATTTTAACTTTGGAAATAAAATAAAAAGTTTATTGACAAAAAATAAAAAGCTAATATCCTTTGAAAAGCATTGAATATGCTGGGCTTTGTTTGCTTTTGATATGTTTTTGGACAGCAGTGCTCAACTTCCCAGTTCTGCCTCTTGCTATCAGCAGGTTTTCTGTTTTGAGCCTCTCTCTTGAGTCAAGTGGGGATAGAAGAACCTGAAATCAATAGAGGAAAATTATTTTCAAGAATTGGTTCAAGTTCAGCAAAATCTTATTTTGGGGCAACATCTTTCATAGTTCTTTTCTTTGATTCAGATCATTATTTCAATCTATAGTGAATTAAATCCTCATTTAGCTCAGAACAGGGGAAGACATAATTTTCAGTAGCTCCCATTAGATTCAGTGTTTTACCTTTGAATTTTTTCCCCCCACTTGGATTATGCTGTAAAATCCAAAGTTCGATTTACAGCATGGTTGTCAAACTCAATTTCATTGAGAACCACTTCAGGGTTGTGTTTAACTTCGGGAGCCTGGGATGGGTAAGGCCAGGGTGGATGTGGCCATTTTGATGTCACCTGTGTTAGGGGCGCCTATGGCAGCCCAAGCACTCTGCCAGCAAAAATGACCTTCTGCAGCCCTTTGCCAGTGAAAATGGAGCTCAGGAGGCCTGCATGTGGCCCTCACAAGCTCTGTTTTTACTGGCAAAGGCACTGCAGGCTGGTCCTTCACTTTTTCCAGGTTAGCCCCATGGGCCAGATCTAAGCACACCACAGGCTGGATTTGGCCCGCAGGCCTTGATTTGACACCCCTGATTTAGAGCATGACTTTATCTTTAAGGTGATCTGAATGTAAGCTTAAAAACCTAATTTGCTTTAAATAACCATCAAAATAGTGATTATCTTTGTAATAAAAACAAATGACAGAATTTATAAATATATAAACAATACATTTTAGATGATGAACGTGCTGGGTTTTGTTTGTACCACTATTGTAGGTCTTAATCAAGCTAGATCTGTTATCCCTTGCTCTAATCTTTGACTCTTCTTTGATGTTTATGTTAGCATAACTCTGTTCTTCTGGAAGATATTTCTTCTGACATTTCAAATCAATTGGCAAGAAGTAGCTTTAGTCAGCAGAAGTTACTTATGCCTCCTTTAAATTCCATCCATCTGGCATATCTTTTAGGCAGGATCTGCCATTCTTCATATCCTAATGATTCTACATTTGCTAAGGACAAAAATGTATGCAATTTCTATCCAATACAGCAAATATCTATGCCATTTACTTCCAAACAAGAATGGAAGCAATTTTATGCTATAAATGAACACAATTCTTAATGTTTTAAACCAATAACTTCCAGATATGTTAAATTTACTAGTCCCAGTTAACTCATACAGGTTCCATTTGATTATTTATATTGGGCTAAATAAAGCAGCAATTGATACAATAACAAAAATATTTAGGCATATAAGTTCCTTTATCTGAAGATGATAAAACAAAAAATAAAGTTGAATAGATTTAACATCTACAACAAATCTTGTTTGCTTAGTGTTCAGAGCAGTTAACCAAACTAATGGAAATTAACAAAATCTATTACATATTACAATGAGATGTTTTATCTTTTGTGTACCTTAAGTCAAAGCTCAGATACATATGCAATCAAAACACTATTGTTTGTTTGAAATGCTTTAAGTTTAATGTAGAACGTTTGTTTGAAATATTCAATAACATATTTCCTAATTGCTTACACCAATTTTCACATGCTAATTATTTTGCTATTACTGATAAAATATAGATCAATTTGGATATATGTATGCAGAATCTTGTATCACTATTCAGTTTCAAGTGTAAATGGCACTTATGATTGATACAGAAGTAATTTGTTGATGCAGTCAAATAAAAATACCTCTGTAATTCATTAAAATGATTACCATAGAAGTGGTTCCCAAAGTGGGCAGAACTACCCCATGGGGGGTGGGATGCCTTAAGAGGGTGCTAAGAGGCAAGGGGGCTGGCAGGGAGGTGCTAAGAGGTGACAGGGGGTGCTGGAGGAGTCCAGCCACACTGAAAAAAACATGCGGCAGCTGGAGGTTTTTGCAGGCACAGGGGATCAGCACAGCTCTGCAGGTGGGATTCACCCTTCCCATCCTGGAAGTGCTGCCTGCACTGAGCCACGACAGGTCCCCACATGGGCCGGGTCAAGCCAGTTGCGAAGAAGGTCTCCCCAAGGAAGTGAGGTAAAAGCGCATGCACCACCTCATAGTTGTGTCACAGGAATTATGTAGGGTGGGCCTTTCGGCATGTTGAGAGTTCTTGGTGGAGTCGAGTGTTGGGAGGTTTTGCTTGGTGGGCCATGGCTTAGAAATCAGTGCAAAGCAATTTCAGGGATTACAGGAGGTGGGACGGGCTCTGCTCAGAAGTGGCTGCTGAAGGGGAGGTGCTAAGAGGCGGCAGGGGGGCATTTGAGGTGCCGGTACCATAGGCTCATCCCATTGACTGTTGCACCAGAGCGGTGCAAGGGGCTCAATGGCGTTGAACACAGTGGCGGCAGCACATTGGGAAAGTCACTCTGGTTTTGCTCTACTTTCCCAAAGTGCCGTCACTGTCGCATTCTGTCTGTCTGTCTGTCTGTCCATCCATCCAAAAGATCTGTCTGTCTGTCTGCCTGCCTGCCTGCCTTCCTGCCTACCTACCTACCTGCCTGCCTGTCTTTCTGTCTACCTACCTATCTACCTACCTACCAATATCTATCTATCTATCTGTCTGCCTGTCTATCTGCCTGCCTGCCTGCCTGCCTCTCTCTCTCTCTCTCTCTCTCTCTCTCTCTCTCTCTCTCTCCATTCATCCAACCATGTTTGAAGCGCCGGCCCCGCAGGCACATCAGGAAAGTAGAGCAAAGCCAGTCTGGGAGGGAGGAAAGGAGGGAGAGAGGGAGAGGGAGAGAGGGAGAGAGGGAGAGAGGGAGAGGGAGAGAGAGAGAGAGAGAGAGAGAGAGAGAGAGAGAGAGAGAGAAACCTGATGCATCAGTTAAAATGAGGCCTGGTTTAGACTGAGGCCCTTTTCCACATTGAAACATCTTTGCCAGCACATTGAAAACTCTTTGGCTTCTATTAAAGGTTTTGCGGACGAAACATAGTCAAGACTATCAGGAAGGTCTCACATTTTGTTGAGGCTTTAAACAGGATCCATTGGACCAGATCTCCACCCTAAAAATTACTTTTCCCCAATGTATTACAGTACCAATTCTGAAGAAGGCAAAACCAAAATGTACTGGTAAATTACAAGGGGAACGCGCACACACACACACACACACACACACACACACACACACACACACTCCCTTCTAACCCTGCTGGAGCAGGTGATTGGACTAGAATAGATATCTCATTATCTTTCTCCTCCCTCCCTCCCTCCCTCCCTCCCTCCTTCTTTATTTCTTTTTCTTTCTGTCCCTTCCTTCCATCCCTCCTTTCTTTGTCTGTTCCTTTATTGTTCTTTCCATTTTCTCTTTCTTTTCTTCCTTCTCTCTTTCTCTCTCTCTTTCTTTTCTCTCTCTCTCTTTCCCTTTCTCCAGTTCACCCCATTGAATTGGTGCACCGCTTCACTCAGACTTGCTTAGGCAGGTCCCTCCAGTGCAGCAGGCTCAATGGGATGGACCTGTGGGGCCAGCACCTAGAACGTGGCAGTGGCAGCATGTTTGAAAAGTGGAGCAAAGCCAGAGGGCAGTAATTTTTGCTGCAAAGAATCACAAAAGCTTCTGGGCTGTGCACAAGAAGGGACACACATGTCAGTGCAATTCAGCAACATAAAATAAAGAAATACAAATAAAACAAATCAACAAGAATCAGCAAAGCATCTCTGATTAGATTCTATTCACCACTAGAATCTAATCAGAGATGCTTTGCCAATTCTAGTGCAATGACCTGCTCCAGCAGGGTTAGAAGGGAGTGTGTGTGTGTGTGTGTGTGTGTGTGTGTGTGCATGGCTGTCAAAACTCCAAAAACAGGTCAAGTAGCTCTGGGGAGGCCAGTCATAAATTAGAACACTTGCTAAACAACCGGCCATTAAGTGAGGACCACTTGTATTTGGTTTGCCAGTTACCTGGCCACGCCCACCCAGTCACATGACCACCAAACCACACCTATTCGGTCATGTGACCAGCAAGCCACGCCCAGCTGGCGGTCATGTGACTGGGTGGGCGTGGCCAGGTAACAAACCAAATACAAGTGAGGTTGTGGCTTGCTGACCAGTCACATGACCAGCAAGCCACAACCTCAAATTAGGTCACACCCACAGAAATTTGAATCCCACCCCTGGGTGGGGGGCAGTGAGGATGAGTTTGTAGCACCAAGGGGGTGGTGGACTGAAAAAGTTTGGGAATCACTGCCATAGATCATTAACCAAGAAAAAAATATTTTTATTCTTAATTTTATCCCAATTAATTTTATGAGAACAAAAGTACAAAAAAAATTGTAGTCATGTCTAGATTCTTTTCAGCAAAGGATTCATTTTTCTAATTTACAAATTCTGCATTTGTAGGCAACAATATAGGTGTAATGCACCATTCAAGTAGTAAATTCTACAGTAGAACTAGGTTATCATAACTCTAAGATTGCCAACTTTGTACTCATGTGTATCTGACTTGCCATACTGTTTGAAATTTTTTCCTTTGATAGAACTTTGTAATATTCATATGTACCAGTGGTGGGATTCAAATTTTTTTACTACTGGTTCTGTGGGTGTGGCTTGGTGGGCATGTTAAATCTCTGACTGTAAAATCTCCAGTCAGAGGTGGTATTTG